TTGTTTGTTTGTTTGTTTGTTTTAAAGACTTTATTTATTTATTTGACAGGGATCACAAGTAGGCAGAGAGGCAGGCAGAGAGAGAGGGGGAAGTAGGCTCCCCACCGAGCAGAGAGCCCGATGTGGGTATTGATCCCAGGACCCTGAGATCATGACCTGAGCTGGAGGCAGAGGCCCAACCCACTGAACCACCCAGGCACCCCCAGATCCTGTTTTAAAGATAAAACGTATCAGAATCTACCCATGTCTTGCCACTTTCATTGTTACCATTTGGTCCAGGGCATCTTGGACCTGGGTTACTGCAACAGCTTCTTAATCCTCATGTTTGTTTCCTGTGTGGATGATTCTCCACACAGTAGCCTGAGTCAGACTTCTATCTTCTCTCTGCTCAGACATTTCTTTGTCTTTCCTTATGCTCAGACATTTCTAATGGCTTCCATCTCATTTAGTCCTTTCACTGCCTCCAGGTACCTACTGTAAGGCCCATGTTAGCGGTGACCAAACGTCTGATCATTTACCCTGGCTACCTTATTTTAGCACAGTGTCTTCCTTGCTTTCCTCCAATACACCAGGCAAACTTCCACCACAGGATATTTGCACCTGCTGTTCTGGCTGCTCTGCTCTTCCCTATGCCTGTGGCTCTTTTCTTCCACTCCTTCAATACTTGGTTCTTCCCTTAACATTTCTGTAAACACAAAAGGGTGTTTGTTTGTTTTAATTTATTATTTGTTTAAGTAGACCCCACACTCAACATGGGGATCGAACTCACAATCCTGATATCATGAGTTGCATGCTCTGGGGTGCCTAGGTGGCTCAGTTGGTTAAGCATCCAACTCTTTATTTGGGCTCAGGCCATGGTCTCATGGTCGTGAGATTGAGCCCTGTATTAGGCTCCATGCTTAGTGGGGAGTCTGCTTGAGATTCTCTCTCCCACTCCCTCTGTCCCTCCCACTACGCACTCCTTCTCTCTATAGAATAAATAAAATAAATCTTTAAAAAAAAAAAAAAAGAGTCACATGCTCTGTCAACTGAGCCAGCCAGGCACTGTCCCTCTCCCTGTTCTGTGGTGGTTTTATTTTTATTTCTTTCTTTATGTTTTAAAGGTTTTATTTATTTGTTTGATAGAGCACAGCAGGGGAGCAGCAGAGAGAGGGAGAGGGAGAAGTGGACTCACTGAGCAGGGATCCCAAAGCAGGACTCGATCTCTGGGATCTTGACATGAGCTGAAGGCAGATGGTTAACGACTAAGCCACCCAGGTGCCCCAGTTTTGTTTTGTTTTGTTCTTTTAAGATTTTTTATTTATTCATTTGAGAGAGAGCACAAGCAGGGGCAGAGGGAGAAGCAGACTCCCCACTGAGCTGCAAGCCCAATGCAGGGCAGATGCTGAACCATTTGAGCCACCCAGGCACCCTTCTATGGTGGTTTTAAAATGCCTCCATAAAATTTTTAATACTCCTCCCTTTAAGAGGTGAAGACTAATTCCCTTCCCCCTGAACATGACCTGGATTTAGTTATGTAATTTTAACAAATACATGTCAGAAGTGACTGTGATTTCCAGGATTAGCCCATAAAAAAGCATTGCTGCCTCTTTAGTCTCTCTTGGGTTAATCTGGGGGAACCAACTCCATGTTAGGAAGACACTGAGGGACAAGGCCCTGTCCTCTGGAGAGGTCCATCAGGGAGAACAGCTTCCCACCAACAGCCATGTGAATGAGCCATCCTGGAGGTGGATCCTCCAATTCCAGTCTAGCCTTCATGGAGCTGTAGCTACAGCCAGCATTTGCACTACAACCTCATGAGAAGTGAGCCAGAACCACCCAGCTACACCACTCTCAAATTCCTGATCCACTGAATTGTGAAAATGTTGTTTTAAGCTTGCCAAGTTTAAGTGTAGTTTGTTACAATGTAATGGGTAGCATGTATCCTTCCCTTTCTATTCCCCTCAACCCAAATTTATTTTTCCCCATTTTAATTATTGCCATCTGATATACTGTGTATTTCCCCCAATGGAATTATACCATTATAATATGTTTTATTTATTCCCATGTCCAACAGCATCTAGCATAAAGGTGCTCAGTAAATATGTGTTGGATGAATGGAAGTCTATGTCTATCTGTCTGTCTTTGTCTCTGTGAGGTGGTTTAGGCTCAGATGGGAGTTCAGTGAGGGTGTAAGAGACACCCTCTCCTCTTTACAGATGAAGAGAGAGATAATGCTTATTGCTTCCTCTCAGCCCTTCTCAGTTGTAGCCCTCCTGGCCCAGACCCCAAGGACAGGTTTACTATGCCTGATTGAAGATTGATTTCCTTCCTTTTGGGAGTAGTTGCCCAATCCCTTGCCCCTGTCCTCCTCCGCCCTCTGCAAAGCAGTCTCCAAACTCTCAAAACTGGAATTTCCCTAAGCCAGTTTCTATCTTCCCAAGAAAATCTTAACCATCTCTCTCTGCAGGTACCCCCTCTTCTCAGAGCAGGGGTTTGGGTATGGGGTAGGGTTTAAGGGGAGCAGGGTGGGCACAGGAGTTCTTCAGAGCTCTACCCTCTGTCTTCATTCCCCAGGAGCCCCTAGGACATGTCTGCCAGCTTCTGCACCTTCAGATTCTCCCCTCTGGGTCCGGAAGAGGGAGCAGGACTCTTCAGAACTCACACCACACAAAGCTATAGGGGAGCAGGCATCAGTACTGAAGGCAGTTGGATCACCAAGGCTGCTTCTTGGGAGGTTAGGGTTGTCTGGCTGTCAGGTCTGAAATGTAAGCAGGAGGACACTGGAGTGAGCCAAAGGTGTGAGCAGTACTGAGTTTCAGTATGACCAGGGATGGATCAAAGAGAACAAGGACTTAGTGCTACAGTGGAATCTGGGCAAGGGACAAGGGTGGAGGTTAGAGGACAAGAAGAGTGGCAAGGTGGGACACCTGGGTGGCTCACTGGGTTAAGCCTCTGCCTTCAGCTCAGGTCATGATCTCAGGGTGCTGGGATTGAGCCCCACATGGGGCTCTCTGCTCAGCAGGGAGCCTGCTTCCCCCTCTCTCTGCCTGCCTCTCTGCCTACTTGTGATGTCTCTCTGTGTGTCAAATAAATAAATAAAATCTTTCAAAAAAAAAGAAGAAGAAGAAGAAGAAGAAGAAGAAGAAGAAGCAGCCCTGCAAGGTGTTAACAAGAAGAGAAGTGAGAAGAGCTAGTGATCCAGGCCAGGACAAGCTGGGTCTGAGAGGAGGGGATGGGAGGGGAGGCAAAGTCACACCTGGATTTCTGCCTCCTTGAGGAATCTTGGCCCTGGGAACAGTGTGCCTCACTGGGTGTGAGGTCAGAGGATGGTCCCTGGTGCTGGCTCTGACATAGCTGAGTTTCATACTCAAACCAGGTGTCAAACCAACAGATACAGGTTGTTCACTCACACACTTGGAATCATTTCTGGATGGCTGTCATGCTTTTGGTAGGTCCATCCCATTGGGCACAGGAAGAAACGAGAAGTTATGAGGGTGCCTAGGAAAGGGAGGGGGTATCCAAGCTTCTCAGAGGAAAAATCAAATCGTGGCCTGCCACTCAGCGCCCCCAAATAAGATAAAGAATCTCAGCCTCTGGGAGATCACTGGGGGTAGAGTGGGCCTGGAACAGTTGGCTGAAGGGGTCTGGAAATAGAAACTGTGGAGTCACACACAAAATGGTTGAGGAAGCATGTGAAGATTGGCAAAATGATAAGAATGACAGTTGAAATGTGGGATGGATACCAGAGGTTCATAATACTATTCACTCTCCTTGGGTATATGTGTGAAAATGTCCATAACAGAAGATTACAAAAGCTTTAAAACAACAACAAAGTGAATGTATCTGCATGTGGCGTGTGTAGCCTGCTGATGTGAGTGCTGAAGCAGTTCAGGGACCTCTGCGTGTCAGTGCAGATGTGTGCCTTCACCACCGTGGGCACGGACTGCGCAAGCTGCAGCCTGCATGCGGTTGGGGACAGCGCTTGGGCAGGGCAGGGGGAAGCTTTTGCTCTATGCAGGCCGTCCACATTCACCTAGCATCTTGCGGAGTGAGTCCCCTCATGATCACAACCTGCCCAGGCCACTGGTGCTGTAATGTCCGTGTAACCAGATATGTGAGACAGGGCGGCTATGTGCCTGAACTTGTGACAGGGTGTGAACACGGTTATCTGTGTGTGAATGCCAGGCACTGAGTGTGGATTTGGGGGGCACGACTTGGTGTGACGGGGCCCTGGTCCAGAGTCCAAAGGTGTTAGACTCCTCACTCTCCTTTGAACGATCCCCGGCAGCTCTCCAGCGCCCCCTCCCCCCCTTCTGATAGTACGAAGGGGGAAACACCTGTTGGGGGGGCTGGGATCGGCAGAGGACCCCGGGGCCTCTCCCCCAGCGCCCCCGCCCGCCCTGCCCCTGTCGGGTCCCGCCCCCGCGGCCGCGCCGGCAGAGCCGCTCGTGAGCGCACGGCTGCCAGAAGAGCGCACGGCGGCAGGAGCGCACCGCGGGGGACCCCGCGCAGGGAAGCGAGCCGAGCAAGTGGCTGCCCTAGAGGCGGGCGGAGCAGAAGGAGCGCCGTGGAGACGCCAGGGGCACCGGGCCGCGCCAGGCTGGTGAGTGCGCCGCGGGCGGTGGGGAGCCAGAGAGCGGGCGTCGAGACCCCGCGGTCGTGGTCCCTAGCCTGCCCGGTCCCAGGCTCTGTCCCCGCCGCCCTCTGTTCCCGCGCCTCCTCAGTGCTGGTCCTCTGCGTCTCTGCCCCGTCTCTCCGTCTGTTTCCTTGCCTCTGTCTCTGTTCCCCCCTATTTACTGTCTCGCCCTGTTTCCTTCTAATCTCTTGTCTCTCTTCAGTCTCTGTCTCCTTCGTGCTGCGTCGCTATTTCCGGGTCCCTCTCAACCACTGTCTCACTATTTGTCTGTCTCTCCAGCTCTGTCTCTGTCCCTGTCCCTCTCTGGACTGCCTGTCCACTCAGGTCTTGTTATTTATCTCTTGCTTCTCTACCCTTTTTACCTCTTTACCCACCATCTCTATCAATCTCATCTCTCCCCACTTCTGTCTCTCCGCTCTTGTGTCTGCTGGATATCTCTGTCTCTTCCCACCTCTGTCTCTCATTGTCTCTCAGTCTCATCTCTATTTCTATTTCTGTACCTCTCCTGTCATTGTCTCTCCCTTGGATCTCTCTTTTGCTCTCGCCTTCTCTCCCCACTCCCCTCTCCTTCTCTCTGTTTCTTGGTCCTTGTCACCCTCTCTGATCTGCTGTCTCTACCTGTCCTCTGTCAATGTCCCTTTCCATCTCTTTGGGTCTCGTTTCTTGTCTCTCCTGCTCTTTCTACCTCTGTCTGTAGATCTCTGGGAAAGCTATCTTTCTGCTTTTTTTCTTGTGGCCCCCTTACACTTCCCTGAAACAGTGACCAGCTCCTCTTGTGCTGGGGGTTGTGGGGGCAGCAGGGCCCAACACTCATAATTCCCACCCCCACAGGCGGCCCTTTCCTCTGGGCCCCGCCTGGTGCCAGCCCCCTCACCAGCGGGGGGACTGCGCCTGGAAGCTGTAATGGAGGCCCTGCAGAGGCAGCAGGCAGCCCGCCTGGCCCAAGGGGTGGGGCCATTGGCCCCCCCACGCTCACTGCCACCACCACTACCTCCTTTGCCTGGCCCCCGGACCCTGCAGGCCCCTGAGGGGGCCTTGGGGGAGGTTGGGACTGAAGAAGAGGAGGATGCTGAAGAGGATGAGGAAGGGGAGGAAGCCGGGGCAGAGGAGGAGGCAGCCGAGGAGAGCCGTCCAGGGACACGGGGCCCCAGCTCACCTTCCAGCCAACCCCCTGGACCTCATCCCCATGAATGGACCTACGAGGAACAGTTCAAGCAGGTAGGACCCCCTCGATGTCAGGCCCTCTCCCCTTTCTCTGGGCAAAGGCAAAACCAGGGGATTCTTAGCCCACCCACCCCCACTGCCCTCTGCAGGATGGAAAGACAGAGACACAGAGACTTGGAGAGAGGGGGAAGACTGAAAAATAGAAAATGACAGGAAGGGAGAAACAGACATCCAGAGACATGGAAAGAAGTGCATAGGCACACACTGAAAGGTGCAGGAGACGCCCAGAAACATGGAGGCATGACAGACTAGAGGCTTTTGGTGAGGCTGGAAGGAAAAGTGGGAGGGGTGAGGAGCTTCGAGAATTCTTTTGAGGGAGTGGGATCTGAGGAATGAGGATTCCAGTGCCAGAACCATCTTACCCTACCTTCTCCCACATCAAGTCACAAGGTCATAGTCCAGCAACCAGTTTGGGTTTCCTGGGCTGCCTATTTCTGTCTTTCGAAGCAGGCTGGAGGTTGCTAGTCCTCTGGCAAGCTTATAGCCCCCTCATCTCTTCCCTGGTGCACTGCCCTCATCCAAAGCTCTCCCTGGCCTGAAGTCTGTGGGTGACAGTTCCTAGTCTGTGATGGCCACTACAGCCGTAGTGTGACTAAAGGACTCCTGCACAGCTGGGAATGACAAGATCTTACTCATAGTGCCTTAATTTGAGGTTCTTCCTCTCTGTGGAATGCATCTGGTTGTTATTCTAAGGCACTGCTTCAGGTTGTCACTATGAGGGTATGTATTATGAGGGACTCTGACTCTAGGTGTGTTGTCCTGGTAATGTTACTTGTAGGATGTTGGTCTTGGGTATTTTCCAGAAGTATTCATCTGTGCCTAGTACTCTGTGACATTAGTGTCAAACTGGAAGAGTTATTCAGAGCCCTGTGGTTCTAGCGACTGTTTCTTCTGGCTGTAATTCTGGGAATTATTACTTGGAGATCATGTGTGTTATTTGTTTGTATCCATCTAATACTTCAGGCTCAGTTCTGGTGGGAGTGTAGGTCTAACGTGGAACTCTAGGGTTTGTTACTTATGGGTGTGTTTTTTTTTTTTTTTATTCTGAGAGTTCTTCTTGGGGAATGGAATGTTACCTATTGGTGTTACTCAGGGACTGTTATTCTGGGTAAATGACTCTTACTCTTGGGATCGTTTCTCCTGGGTGGTATTTGGGAGGTGAAACTGGAGATGAGGCTCCAGGTGACTGGAAATGTGTGGAATGACCTCTGGGCCTTCCAAGTTCTGACCCCACAGGTCCTGGGGTGCAGGGCCATTACCTCTGTGGCAGCCTCTATAGTGGAGAGGTCACTGTCCCTGGAAAGAGACCAGAAGGTGGGCTGAGGGGCTCCAAGTTTCAATCCAGGAGCTTCTGAGCATCCACTCTGCCTGAGGAATGGTTTAGAGGTATCTCTGCCCTTCGTCCCCAGCCTTGATACATGGAGATGTGAAAAGCAAGAAGCCTTTGCAGGAATGAGCAAGAGTAAATGAGTGCCTCAGAGACATCTGTCAGTTTCTTCAATGGGATGCACTCTCCTAGCCTGACTTCCTCCCTAGGGCTCTGTGCATGCCCTGGAGGGCAGGCTGGGCCTCCTAAGCTTCCTCTCAGTCCCCTATTCCCCAGAGGAATCGTTTGAGTTTCCCAGGGCCTGCCTGGCCAGTGGAGGGTCTCTGCGTATATTAGAAAAAAGTGCCCCTACCTACCCTCACGGGGAGAGAGTCTAATGCCAGGGAGTCCACATTTCAGACCCTACTCACCCTTTCACTAAGAACCCTTATTCAGGGTATAACCTGAGTTGGGGTTCCAGGGGGTGGGGGGAGGTCAGTAGAGCTGAAAAAATGACCTCAGTCCTTCCCCAGCTGTACGAGCTTGATGCAGACCCCAAGAGGAAGGAATTTCTGGATGACCTGTTTAGCTTCATGCAGAAGAGGGGTGAGTGGGGTGATGTAAGGGAAGGACCCCTACTTACCAGTTTTGAGGAAGGGAGACCCCAGGGTTTAGTCCCTAGGTTGGGTCCTCTCTGCAGAGGCCTGAGCTTGGCAACACCTATCCTTTGGGCCCTCAATAGCGTCTTTAACCTCTGACCTTGCCCCCCTCCTCCACCCAGGGATTAATTAGTGGCCAGCCCACTGGCAGGTTAATGAGTGTGGGATCAATTGGGAGGGTGGGAGGGGGAACTGGTAGGGGGTTGGCTTGGGGGGGGTTCCCAGGATTGGGGGACTGGGAATGCCTTGTTCCTCTTTCAGTGGCCCTTTGTCCAGCCTCGTCTCTCCTCAGCTTCCCCTTGCTTTAGGCAGGGGACACCCAATGCGCTCCACAGCAGGAAGGACTGGGATTAGACTGAAGGAAGGACTTCCCAAGGGGTAGGCTGAGGATCATGTGATTTGGGGTTGTGGAGGAGGAGGAATTCCTTTCCAGGAATCTCAGAGCTAGAAGAAAATGCAAGGGTCCAGGAGATCAGGGTGGGCGGCAGTCCATCACTTAGGCTTCTCCCCAGATTCATGGGTCGGAAGACTGACTCATTATCTCTCTCTACAAAGCTAATTAACTCACTCGGAGCTTGGCCTGATAAGCCACTAATTAACTAGCTGCACTGCACCCCCCCCTCCCTTAGTGCAGCTGCTGGTCAAAGTCCCCCAGGCTCCCACTGCAGGCCCAGCATCCCCTTTTGGGATCCTTTCTAGCCAGGGAGCATCAGTGGGACCCCAGGTCTTTTTTGCTTCCCAGGGAGACCCAGTCATTTTCGAGGTCTGCCTCTGCTGGGGAAGTGGGGTAGGGTGGTCTGAGCAGGTCCCAGCATTCCCTCCCATCACCCTCAGGCCGGGAGCTCTGCCTCCCTCCGGTCCCTGCCTCCCTCCGCTCCCTCTGCTGCGGGAGGATGTCCCGGGGGACCGATAATTTCCCCCCATTAATCAGGCCGCAGCTAATTGTTCGGGTCCAAAGGCGGCGGCGGAAGGGGACGGGATCGGTAAGGAATTAACTGGGGCCCATCGCTCAGCGCAGACAGGCCCCTTTGTCAGGACTGGCCAGCGGGGGCGGCGTGGCTGCGGAGTTGGTGAGCCGAGCTGGGGGCTGCTGCTTCTCCTATCACCTATCCCCCGGTCTCGGGCAGCCATCCTGGGGCGCCTCCTTAGGGGAGTCCAGCTCTTCAGCACTATCAGGAAGTCCTTACTACGGTCTACCCCAGGAGTCTACCCCAGGGGTCGGCAAACTTAAGCCTGCTGGCCAAATCTAGCCGCCAGAGGGATAAGAATGGTTTTTACATTTTTAAATAGTGGGAAAAAAATTAAAAGACGAATGACATTTCAGGACATGTGAAATTCGAATTTCAGGGTCTGTAAATAAAGTTTTTATTGCAACACAGCTGGGCCCATTCCTCTAAATATACTCTATACCTGCTTTTAATCTATGGCAGAGTGGAGTAGTTCGGACAGAGGAGGTTTGACCCTCAAAGCCTGTAATATTTACCGTCTGGACCTTTACTGAAGTTTGCCAACCCCTGATCTAGCTTCCTGTCCTTCCTGCTACAATGCAGGACTTGGGGGCTCTGTGGACTCTGCCTGGAATCCCCCCTCCCCATCCCTCCCTATTCCCTTTTCTCAGAGGTCTTGCGCTGTACCCTGGCCTCGCCCAGGTAACTGACTCCTTCAGTCCTTGAGGATGTCGCAGACAGGATCTCAGTCTTAATGTCCTGACTCTCTGTGTTCACCTCCCACCAGGGACGCCAGTGAACCGTGTGCCCATCATGGCAAAACAGGTGCTGGACCTGTACGCGCTCTTCCGTCTGGTGACAGCCAAAGGTGGCCTGGTGGAAGTCATCAACCGCAAGGTGTGGCGGGAGGTCACGCGCGGCCTCAGCCTGCCCACCACCATCACGTCGGCAGCCTTCACACTACGCACCCAGTGAGGCCAGGCGCGCGAGCGTATTGGGGAAGGCGCGGGAAGGGGACCACAGGGCGTGGAGGGCCCAGGGGTACTTTCGTGGTGGGCTTGATCAGTTGGGTCCAGCCTCCCACCCACCCTGCCTTGTTCGTCGGTCCCTAGGTACATGAAGTACCTGTACCCCTACGAGTGCGAGACGCAGGCGCTCAGCTCCCCGGGGGAGCTCCAGGCAGCCATCGACAGCAACCGACGCGAGGGCCGTCGTCAGGCTTATACTGCCGCCCCGCTCTACGGCTTAGCTGGGCCTACCCCTCGGGGAACCCCGGGCCACCTCTCGGTTCCGGGCGCCGCCCAGCTGACGCCTACGCCCAGCCCCCGTCCTGCCCAGGGCTCCGCCTCAGGCCTGCCGGCCCACGCCTGCGCGCAGCTGAGCCCGAGCCCCATTAAGAAAGGTGTGAGGGGAGAGGGGCTGAGGTTTGGGCGTCTCTGAGACCTAGGGGGTGTGCTGAAATATAGAGAACATTAAAATGTGGCGACTCTGAAGTCTGGGAGGCATTGAGGTATGAGGGCAGTAAGGACTGACAGGGCGCTGGGGTTTGCCGATCGCTAAGGTTCAGATGTACCGAGGTTTGGGGTCAATGAAGCCGTGGGAGGTCTGGGGTACAGGTTACTGCGATGTGGGCCTGAAGCTCAGATAAAGGCCATTTATCTAGAGGAGGTCCATTCCACACCTGTCCAACTTGGGTTCCTATTTGCATGTAGTTTTTGCCTCCTGTGACCTGTATTATTTAATAACTAAGAACAAGGAAAGCCCCCACATTCTCTTGGACCAACCTAGGCATATATTGGCCCTTTGGGCTCGCCAGCTTCAGAGCCTCGAGGCTGAGACTCTGGATGGGGCGGGGCGGGGGCGGGGCGGATCACACTTGGTGCTTCAGCTTGGGTAACCTCCATTGGTCCCAGGCCTGGGAGGTGAACCAAATGCAGAGGCAGAGTTGGTTGGTCCAGTGAGTTGAATGACCTGTTCTTCCAGAGGAAAGCGGAATTCCAGCCCCTCGACTGGCACTGCCTGTGGGCCTGGCTTTGGGAGCTGCAAGGGAGAAGTTGGCACCAGAGGAGCCGCCAGAGAAGAGGGCTGTGCTGATGGGGCACATGGACCCACCTCGACCTGGAGTTCCCCCCAGTTTCCTGCCCCGTGGCAAGGTTCCCCTGAGGGGTGAGGAGGGGTCTGTGCACTAAAGGAGAACATAGATGTTGGAGGTGGGGCAGAAAGATCCCTCAGTAGACAACTGTGTGATTATAGGTGTTGGGCAGAAGTGGAATGGGGGTTGTCTATAAGGATGGAGGGGGGAGCTTATAAGTCTGAAGCCTGATTCTCCAAAATGTGACTCCCTGCCCCTCCTGGACAGAAGAGCGGCTGGATGGGCCTCTCAATCTGGCAGGCAGTGGTATCAGCAGTATCAACATGGCACTAGAGATCAACGGGGTGGTCTACACTGGTATGGGTACTGCAGGCTGTCTATACTGGCATGAGGTCAGGGGTATTTGCTCTGGCATGGGGATTTTAGAATTTCTCAGCTAGCATGAGGTTCAGGGATATCCATACTTGCATGGGTAATGTGGTGGTCAGGGGATTGCTACAATGGCATGGGTTAAAGTGGTGTCTACAATGGCATGGGGTCTAAGGCATGACCTCTCTGGCATGGGTACCATGGGATGTCTGCCTTGTCATGGGCCTATGTATCAGTGTAAATATTTCTTGTTTACCTGTTTGAGGGTATCTATATTGGCATAGGAGTCTCCACTGACCTAAGGGGTTTGTCCTCATTGGTTTGTGGCAGGGATATGTGTGTGGTGTTCTAACAATCAGGACACTGACTTTTGTTTTCCTCTTCTGTTTCTGTGCCCACCCCTTCCTGCCTGTGTTTTCCCTCTACCATCTCCTCACCCCTTTGTCAGGTGTCCTCTTTGCCCGTCGCCAGCCTGTGCCAGCTTCCCAGGGTCCAACCAACCCTGCACCTCTTCTCCCTACAGGACCCCCTTCCAGCACCTCACCATGAGAACTCCCACTTGGAATTAAGAGTCCCAGCTCCAAGGCTGAGGGGAGGGGAGGAGACATCCCCCACACCTTGATTCTTTCAGGGTGCCCATTCTAGGACCCAGCCCTGGGACATGACCCCCCCCCCAAGATGCCATGTGGGATTGAAGCCAGAGTTTTCTTTCAATGTTACATCTACCTCATTGTAAAGGGAGAGCATCTCCTCCCTGCCTGACCCCAACAGCATCAGCATCTACCAAAGAGTTCTGCCCCCAGTAACCTCAGTCATCTCCTCATGTGCCTCCCTGTGTTGATGTCATCTCTAGGACCCCACCTCTTCAAATCATACCTGCTTCTCTTCAGAAGCCATGTGAAGGGTTAGGTTGGGGTGTTGTGAAGGAGTCGTCCCTCAGGTCACATCTGAACAATAAAGCTGCAGTCCCTCCCTCTCCAGTGCCTCCTCTCCTTTTTCTTTGGGTCTGGGGGTTGAGGCCAGAGGTTCTCAGAGGGGACGAGAGAACAGCCAAGGTCCATGAAAGTAGAGGGGCTGGGGGCGGGGGTGCCTGGATGGCTCAGTAAGTTAAGCCTCTGCCTTTGGCTCAGGTCGTGGTCTCAGGGTCCCTGGATCGAGCCCCCTCATCGGGCTCTCTGCTCAGGAGAGCCCCCTCTCTCTGCCTGCCTCTCTGCCTACTTGTGATTTGTCAAATAAATAAATAAAATCTTTTTTAAAAAAGGAAGGAAGGAAAATAGAGGGGCTGTATTTCATGACTCGGACTGCCTGAGTTCAAATCCTGATTCTACTACTAGAGTGTGGGGTGGCCTTGGGCAAGACATTTAATCGCTTGAACCTCTAAGACTCTTGATTGTGGTATCCCAGGGAGTCTCCTACTGATCTATGGAAAAGGATCAATCCTTTAAAAATAGGTGTATTTATATGGGCAATCTAGGGGCATAGGGTGGGAAACCTTTCCGGTACCCTGGAATTAGAAGAAAGGCAAAACCTTGTCTTGACAAGCAGAAGCTGGAAGCTAAGGTAGTGCTTGACAACTTGGCTAGGGTAACCGTTGCCTAGGTAACCAGACAGCTTTTGACATCTTTCACGGGCCCTGTCGGTCACTTCCGGCATCGGAGGGCTGAATCGTGACGCCACTTCCCGTATCGTGGTTCACCCACGCACTCGGATTAGCCAACCTTCTCTATTTGGCCGGATGTCCCGCCTTCTGGCTGATCCCGGCTGAGGCGGGGTGGCAGTGGCTATGGCGGCTGTGACCGATGTGCAGCGGCTACAGGCCCGTGTGGAGGAACTGGAGCGCTGGGTGTACGGGTCGGGCGGGCCGCGCGGCTCGCGGAAGGTGAGCGATCTGGTTTCCAGTGCTCTCTTTTTGGGGCAGAGCAAGAGCGGTCTACTGGCCTGGTCCTTGGGATGGATGCTACCACTCCAGTTTCATCTCCCGCAGCCTGGCTTTTGACATAATAAAGGTTCGAAACCTTCCAGAGCTTATCGGACCCTCGGGGTCCATTTTCATATGGCGTGCACTGCGGGTTATTAGCACCAATTGCAATGGGCTCGGTGTGAACTCTAAGACTCCTCCTCTGTCCTCGCGGACTAGCTTGGGGAGACCTAACACACTCGAGAAACTGACTAGAGAGAGTATCATGAAGAGCTGGAGTCCGCAGTGGAAGGGCCGTCACAGAGCGCTGCGTCATTAATTGCTAAATACTGTACAGAAGGAAAGCCATGGGACGCCAGAGGAGGCAGAGCAAAGGTGGATAAGGAAGGCCCTCGGGATGGGAGGCGAGGTCTGAAAGAGCCAGGACTAGGAGGGGAAGAGATTGGGTACCCGATGTTGAGATATGGACCGGACTCCTTCACACCAGTGACTGGATTTTGACAACCGTGAAGCTTAGTTCTCTCAACCCCCACCCCCTCATCCCCTTTTTACTATGAGAAGATCTTTTACTGAAGGCGGAGTGTCAGGCATTCCCTGGCGTTAAGTGCATCAGAGGTAATGATGTCTTTTGTACATTTCTTCTGGAATTAGTTGTCAGTAACAGATTATGCCCCATTTGAGAACTGATTTCTCAAAACATTTGCTTCAGTTGACATCTATGACACTAAGTCCTAATTTTCCTCCTTCCTCTATAGCTGTTGCTGCTTAGTCCTATTTGCCTCCCCATATATTTGACCCTTGCATATTGGCATTCCTTATCCTGTATTCTAAAATACAGGTTTTAGAAACCTGGGTGAGATCATTCACTCCTATAGCCTCTCCCTTTGTTTAACACTCTAATATCAGGACTCCACACCCTCTACCCCTAAAGTCTAGGTAGGTTCAGTTAGAGAGGTAGGAACCAGGGAATATAATATATAGGATATGCTAATGCCCTATGAACGCAATTATAGTTAATTATCTCCCTAATCAGACTTGAAGCTTCCCAAGGACTACATGATTATCTTCCCCTTCACACTGAGGATTCCCGGAAGGTGGGGTTGCATCTCCTTTAAGGCAAAAGAAGGGGCCAGGCTACTTTGCTGGGACAAGGAGATTTGGGAGTCTGAGGGAATGAGTGTTTTTTACCTCTTTCAAGCCTTGAGTCAAGAGGTGAATCTTGGAATTAACTTTCAATCCCCTTACAGGTGGCTGATGGTCTAGTCAAGGTACAGGTGGCTTTGGGGAACATTGCCAGCAAGAGGGAGAGAGTGAAGATTCTGTACAAAAAGAGTAAGTGATTCCATTGGTTGCCTGCCTGACCTTCCTATGCCTGTGCTTCGTGGGATGTGGTCCTTGCCCTCCAGCCCAGTAGGTCACTGGAATTGCCCTATAGGGATAGAATGTGAAGATGTTTTCCTGCTGAAATGGTAAAGTGGGGTGTTGTGCTTAAACTCCAAGCCCATGATAGTGTCCTAAGTTATGGGATAAGACCTCTGCCTCAAAGATCCTCTTGGTAGAGTAAGGAGGAGAGATATGGGATTTCCATAGGCAAGGTTCAAAGGCAGGAAAGAAATTAGACCCTGAGAGCCCCAGGGTCTAATTTTTTTTTTTCCATACCTTATTTTTTTTAGCCATACCTTTTTGGTATGTCAAAGCAAGCAACCTAAAAATTAGAAAAACCTCTGACTTGTCTTGGTGGCACTAAGGGGCAAGGGACCTTCCACCTTTGTTGAAGATAGGTCAGTGGGAAAGGTAAGGGCCCCAGAATAGTGGAGGCAATTGTGTTCCCAGCTGTAAAGGCTGAGGTTAACCAGGACGTGGTCAGAGGGGAGAGAAAGGGAGATGGGGCCTGATGGAGGTCTGCTGATGGGCACTGTGGATGTCATCTTCCCACTCAAGGCTCTCCCCAAGGTTGACCACTGATATCCTTCTAATATCCCCTAATATCCTTCATAAGACAGATTCTCCAGTCCCCAGCCCCATCCCATTTTCCATCTTGCTTCTTTTCTAGTTGAAGACCTGATCAAATATCTGGATCCTGAATACATTGACCGCATTGCCATACCTGATGCCTCTAAGCTGCAGTTCATATTAGCAGGTAGCGCTGGACAATGTGTGCACATGCATCTGGGGATTATGGTTTGTGGGGGAATCTGGGCACAGAGATGGCCACCCTGCCAGTCCTCTCATGGATACAGCTCTGGAATCTGCTGTCTGGAATTCTGGCCTAGCTCTGGGCTGAGGCCTGAGGTCATCCTGTAGTCCTCTACTAGGCTTTGGGTGTGGTATCATTCTGAGCCAGCTGCAGGCCATAGTGCCAGAACAGGGGGAACTACTTCAGTGTTCTATCAGTGATCTATTCTCTAGGATTTTCCTTCAGAACCTTCCTCACTTCCATTCACTAGACAGGAGAGCTTCTAGGAAAGGGTGGGAGCAGAACATTGCATTTGGGAGAGGCGAGAATATTGGTATGAGTTTCAACATTTTTCTTTCATGTGAGAAAGCACTGGGATTTCATAGTTCTAGACCTGGCAATGTCTGCTACCCAGTTTAGTCAGCCACTCCATGAAGTAGGGCTTGCCAAGTACCTTTGTTTGTTCATTCATTCAAAAGATGTTTAATGACTGATCATCTGCTGTGATCCGGACCATCCTTGGTGTGAGGTATATGGTGGTGAACCAGGACATCCTTAAACCATTGCCATGGCTGAGGTACCAAGTTCAGGAGATCTTCTCCTACACCGACTATGGAGTCCAGCCTCTCCATCCCTCCCTGTCCACTGCCTCAGTGTCTGTCCCCTCATACATGAATACTTACAGTTGAGTCCTCTTCCTGAACCTAGTCTTTCTCTCCATGCATGTGATCCAGTATCCTCTTCCCCAAACACATCAATATGCTACTTTGTCTACTTTGGAACCTCAGCATCTCCATCTCTCTCCTTGCTAGAATAAAATCCTAATTCCTTAGCCTGCCAGTCAGAGCCTTCTATAGTCTGTGGATCTACCTTCCCATGCAGCTGTTTCCTGTGCTTTCTTTGCACCAGTTCAGCCAATTGACTTCTTTTTCCTCTATTACTTGATAAGCATCCTTGCCTCCCAACATTTGACATAATAGTCATCTCTTCTTGAATGTGCTTCCTACTCACTGCAGCCATTGAAATCACCTGTGCCAGGTCCAGTCCAGATCCTGCTCTTCTCACTGGGCTCTGTTGTTACTGCCCCAGCTCTCCAGAAGCTTGTAATTGTCCCTGCCTCTCAGGGCCACTGAGCAGAACCTGCCGGATAGTCTGGCGCATATCTCCTCTTTCATACCATCCCAGGAGTCCTTGGGCATGGAGACCCAAGTCTGAAGTACTTTGTCTCCTGTGGTGTCAGAGAGACTTACTGAGTTTGTTAATAGGAGGCTAGAGAAAGAGGCCCTAGAGTTAAAACTTTAAGACAGGTGGGATTTGGAGAAATGTAGAGGCTCTTTGGGCTCAAGATGGCTCATACCGGAGGCATCTAGGAGAGGTGGGGGCAGAATGGGGGAATACGCACTTAGAGAAGGGGCAGTGGGCAGAGTAGCTGCCCCATGCTCCAGGACTCAGCCATCTCCCCTGCCATGTTCTCAGCCCCTCACATAGGAGTAGCAGTGCCCAGGCTTACCTCACTGCCTTGTCTGTTTTTGCCTCAGAGGAGCAGTTTATCTTATCCCAGATTGCACTCCTGGAGCAGGTGGAGGCTTTGGTGCCCATGCTGGACAGCGCTCACATCAAAGGTACCTCTTTGGGGCTGCAGCTCTACTATTCTGCTTGGGGAGGTGGGTGGATGGCCAGGACTTCCCTGTGCCTCAGGTGCCCTGGGTTCAAGCTAAGTCTGTTCCTTATCTTTACCCTCATCCTCGGGGTACTTGCTACCTGCATTGGGATTAAAATGGCCAGAGCAGAGTCAGTTTCAGAACCTCAGGCAGTTTGGACCTAAGGACACTAGTTTAAGTCCAGCAGCCCCCAACTCTGGGTATTCCTTCTACCTTCTT